TGTACTTAAAACATTTATCGTCCTGCGTATTCATGAAACCTGAATACAGAATTTGCAAGCCGATAGATAAACATCGTTTAAAGTAAAAATAAAAATGGGGTGCCTGTTTAACAATACCCTGATGATGACATTATTCTATGTCGAAAGTACTCAGAATATATATAATATGAGCCAACACGGTGTTTTTTCTCTCGTCTTTTAACAACCACACAAAAAACCGTATTTTCGAATATGAAAGAATCTTATCGAAAATTATTTAATATATGAAATATATATATATATATATATATATATATATATATATATATATATATATGTGTGTGTGTGTGTGCGTGTTTGTGCGAGTGTATATGAAGAAATATACTCTTAAGGTGTGCTATATTTATGGGATAAAGTGCTCAATATCACAGATAGAGCGTGTGTAAATATAAAAGTGAACATTGAAGTCAACACTTAGAGGCGACAGGCTGTCTCGTTCTAGAAGCAATCGTCAGGCTACCAGTCGTGGCCTGACGATTGCGTCTAGCACGAAACAGCCTGTCGCCTCTAAGTGTTGACTTCATGTTCAATTTATATATATATATATATATATATATATATTTGAGTTAAAAATCATATGTAGATTAAATCTAGATCGGAATTCGATAGGATGGTAAAATAAAGAACAAGTAGGAAGCTTATATCAATCTTATATGTTTCACTTTTATTAAAGCTTCGTTTGAAATTGTGAGAAAAATATATTTCAATCTCTGAAGAAGCTTTGATAAATCTGACACATGTTAGATCATAATGCCATTCCAATTTGTTTTGTATCTTATCATATATATATATATACATATATATAAGTTGTAACAGGCCTTTGGACGATAATCGGTATATCCCCATTCACATAAATACAGTGAGGGGGATTTCCAACTACACAAACATATAGTGTTATAAGTTAGGTTAGAATGGTCAGACCAAGTATCAATGTTAAATTAGTCGGACAGAGAACAAAGAAAAATAGATCAATAAATACAATAAATACATAAATAAATACACGAATAGGTTGGAATATATATATATATATATATATATATATATATATATATATATATATATATAGAGAGAGAGAGAGAGAGAGAGAGAGATGCTTTTGGATGCGTCTCTGGTAGAACGAAATTATACTCACACATGGCAGAAAGTGAATGTCCGCTTGCATTCTGATGGACGCCAGTGAGTGTACAGCCAACCCTATCTCAGTGCCCAAGATCAAGTTACAGTTAACGCAGTGTTGGAGGGGGAAGGTCAGCGACGATTCCTACCCGCCACCAACAGTGGGCTTGGGGAATTTGCTTTAATAAAATTTTAAACCACGAGGAGAATTGAACGGCTTAAAAAAATTCCACGTCCTATTAGTCTCCTACCCCTCTTCGGCAAAGTCTTCGACGCCCTAATCAACGCCGAAGTGGTTAACCACCTTACCTCACACGACCTGCTCTCAGACAAGCAATATGGTTTCCGCTACGCCCGATCTACAGCTGATGTGCTTACGGCCATCACTGAAATCGTCTACCAAGCCCTTCAAAATAACGGTGAGGCTCGTGCTATGGCCCTAGACATCTCCAAAGCGTTTAATAGGGTTTGGCATGCCGGCCTTCTTCGCAAGCTCCAGGGTTATGGTATTACAGGTCGATTGTTTGATCTAATACAACCATTCCTGTCAAACCGTGAATTGAAGGTCGTTCTCTACGGATTCCCCTCCAGTTCCTATCCCACGAACGCAGGTGTTCCCCAAGGCTCCATCCTTGGCCCCACTCTATTCCTTATTTTCATCACACGACGTTCCTGACGCCATAGATTCCCAAGTTGGCATCTACGCGGATGACACTACAATTTACTCCTGCCTCAAAAACAAATCTAGTGTCGGTGACAAAACTAACCTGGCGGCTCGTCTTGAAATGGACATCCAATCGGTTGTTAATTGGGGCATGAATTGGCTGGTCAACTTTAACGCCTCAAAAATTAAACTACTCTCTATTAATCACCATAGAGATCCTTCCCCCCATTAGAATGTCTGATAGTCAACTTCTTGAGAGCAACTCTCTGCGTCTGCTCGGTCTCACGTTGACTGCTGACCTGAGATGGAACAAATACATTGAGTCAATTGCTTCGTTCACCACGAGGAAAATTGGCTCTCTGTGCCGCGCCAGGAAATTTTTCTCCCCGGAATCGATACTTCAAATATACAAATCAACCATTCGCCCTTGCATGGAGTATTGCTGCCATATATGGTCTGGTGCATCTTCTGTTTACTTTGGAGTTCTTGACAAGATCCAGAGGCGGATATGCAATATAATTGGCCCTGTTCTGGCATCTCGTCTACAGTCACTCTCTCACAGATGCGCCGTCGCCTCTCTCTGTCTTTTATTACAAATACTTTCATGGTAATTGCTCCGATGAGCTGCTTTCACTGGTTCCCAGACTTCATGAATTCAAGCGCCCTACGAGGCTGGCATCCCACTCTCACCCTTTCACTGTAGAAACTATTAAATGTAGCCGTCTCTTCTATTCCAATAGCTTCATACCTCACACCTCTCGCCTGTGGAACACTCTTCTCTATTACTGTTTCCCTGAGAGCTATAATCTCCAACTATTCAAATGTAATGTCAATCGACATCTCCAGTTACCTTGATCTATCCATTATCCCTCTCCTCATCCTTTCTTCTATCACTCCTATCTGCTCTCGCTCCAAATCTTCTGCACCCCCTGCATCCTAGTGGCTTCACGCCTTGCTCGGGGCGTAATGCTTAACAAAAAAAGTAAATACTGTATGTTGCTCTGCAGTTGGAGATTCATTGACTGCATATTCTACGCGCTGGTGAATCTTATACGTTGTTCGTGTCCTAAGTAGTATTTTTCATTACCAACCTTCGTGTGATTATTCTATTCAATAAACTTCCTTGGGTTACAACAATGTATATATATATATATATATATATATATATATATAAAATTTTCTTGGTTAAACAATGTGTATATATATATATATATATATATATATATATATATATATATATATATATATATATATATATAAATTTTCCTTAGGTTACAACAATGTATATATATCTATATCCACAGACAGACTGTTTCTCTATCACACGTCATCAGTGCGGCTAGACGTCCGGTTGCCTCTAGCTACGATCGAAACCCGGCTGAATTGGAGTCAGTTGGAGATTTTACTCCTAAGCCGTTGGAACACGTCAGGGAAGAAGTTGAATTTTAGGGGTAATTATTTTTAGATAAAAACACAGTGACCGAGAGGACTCGATTCGATTTACCGAAGAGTTTTGCTATAATATTCGTAATAGTCACTATTTACAAACTCACATTTTTATTTGTATTAATCCAATATATATATATATATATATATATATATATATATATATATATATATATATATATATATTGGATTAATGCAAATAAAAATTGTTTTATTTTACTTTTTTGATAATATTTATTTTTATTAATCCAATATATATATTGGATTAATCCGAATAAAAATTGTCACTTAGTCTATTGATGTTATATTCAGCACCCCGATTCTGGAGTTTCGTAGACAAGTCATTTTGTAATTGTTCTGTCCATCCTTCAAGAGGATTCAAGCAATATCAGTTATATTACAAAGTTATAGGTCAGACTAAGATGCCCTAAATAAATATCTATTTGACCATGTAGTTAATTTAATTAAAAATGTGTTTAACCAAGATTACAGCGAGCGTTCGTAGCAGTTCGGCAAGGAGTTTTGAACCCCACTTTGATCTGTCTGTTAAGCAGATCATTTCCCCCCTATTTGAAATTCATGATTATTTCGTCTTCTCGTCCGCTACGCCCTCCTCTCGTACAGCTTCTTCCATTGACCGGTTAGCAATATTGATTTTTTCTTCTCGTTGATCTGATTTACTTATTATTAATGGCGTCCTGTATTGATCTACGCAAGTAGATACGTAACCAACATGAATTTTACAATTCTGTGTACGAATAGGGTTTGAGATGTAGCGGAATTTTTTCAAGGTCACCATGTCCATTCTAAAGGACAAATGAATGCTGCTTATGATATTTTAAAGCATTCGTTGCTTAACGAAACGATATCGTGATTTTTTTTTACAAATTGAAGTTACTAGTAAGGATTAAAAGTAGTTTAATGTCTAGAATAGCACATTAACTGAAGACGGAAAAGGGGACAGAGAAATCAGAAAGTGCATTGGGATAGCGAAAGATGCCTTCCAAGTGCTAAGCCAACTATTAAGATACAGAAAAAATATCGTTAGAAACAAATAAAAGAGTAATATACTCTTATGTAATATCAGACCTCCTATATGGCAGTGAATGCTGGATAATCTCCTCACAGATGAAGAAGAGACTTGAAGCAACAGAAACATAAATAAGAGCACTGAATTTTTACGTAATATCAGTCCTAATCTATGGCGGTGCATGCTGGACAATCTGCTCACAGATGAAGAGACTTGAAGCAACAGAAACAAAGAAAAGAGCACTGAACTGTTACGTAATATCAGTCTTAATTTATGGCAGTGAATGCTGGACAATCTGCTCACAGATGAAGAGACTTGAAGCAACAGAAACAAAGAAAAGAGCACTGGACTGTTACGTAATATCAGTCTTAATTTATGGCAGTGAATGCTGGACAATCTCCTCACAGATGAAGAGACTTGAAGCAACAGAAACAAAGAAAAGAGCACTGGACTGTTACGTAATATCAGTCCTCCTATATGGCAGGGAATGCTGGACAATCTCCTCACAGATGAAGAAGAGACTTGAAGCAACAGAAATGTGCTTTTACATATGTTGAGGAAAACGTGGATCGAACATGTGAGCAACAACAAAGTTCTAGAGACAGTGGCAACAAAAAACAAATTTATACTTAATATCAATAAGAGGCAATTGACATTTCTAGGGCACATAATGAGGAAAGAGGTCGTGGAAAATTTGATACTCACAGGGCAGATTGGAGGTAAGAGAGATAGATAGATAGAGAGAGAGAGAGAGAAAGAGAGAGGGGGGGAAAGTGGCACATAACATACCTGACGAGCTTCAGTGAATTGATAGTCAAGCAGGGTTTGGGGGAAAGGGGGAAAAGACAAAAGTTATTAAGATCTATAAGGGAAGTTGCGGAGAGCCATGATCGCTAACATCCTGAAGGGACACCGCATCTGGAAGAACATATCTGAGTAGTGCAATAATAGACGACAGAAAGTGTGATACGGTCAACCAAAGAGCAATGCAATAGCGAAAAATACCTTCCAGAAACTGAGCATGGTATTAAGAGATAAGAAAATGTCGTTAAAAGCAAAGCAAAGATTGCTGAACTGCCACATAAAACCGAGTGAATGCTAGGAAATGTCCTGGCAGATGAAGAAAAGATTTGAAACGAAAGAAATGTGGTTCTACTGATGCATATTGAGAATACCATGGCCAGGACATGTGATCATGGAAGACATTTTAAGGAAGATTTATTTGATTTTGTTTAGCGGCATATCAACACATCTATGGGTTATTACATGCCGAAATATATATTTTGAACGCAATTGTATGCCTTCAACTACAGATAAAATATATTGTTGTTTATTTTATAATAAATATGTATTTTATATAAGAATATATTGCTGGTATTTTTATACTTTCATAGTGTTTTGCTTTTGTTTGGAGGTTCACTATTTGCCGATAGCTGGTGCTAACAGGTGCTACCCCCCCGGTCAGGGTGGGCCTGGAATCAACAAAAATTAAGAGGTGGTTCCACGCTCCTCAAAACCTCTAATCTTCCGATCTTTGCTGCCGGATATAGTTCATCGTCATACCCAGGACTATAATTCCACGAAGCCTGCATATTCAATTTTCATTGTACTTTTCTAATTTTTGCACACTCGGACGGAAATTGTGAATAAACAGTCTAACGTTATTCTTTAGTTGTTTCAGAAAGACAATTTTGTATTTTTGTCGGTGGTAGATATGGAAAAAGGTCTAATTACCGAAGAACCTCCCAATAAGAGGCCCTGCTACCGGATGTAATTTATCTGCATACCCACGATTCAATAAGGTTTGTTTTACGGTATATCAACCTTAATAGGTTATTTAATGCCGAAAAGATTTTTATGGATGGTAATATTCTTTTCGAAAAATGTATTGCTGAGAATATTTTTTCTTGAAAGATGCATTGCTGGTAATTCTTTTTCAAAAATGTATTGCTGGTAATAATTTTGTACAAAAATGTTTTCGTGGTATAAAAAATTTGCCCGTAGCTGGGACCGTAAAAGGTGCTACCACCCCGGGTCAGGATAGACCGGGAAACGCCAGCAATTAAGAGGTGGTTCCACGCTCCTCAGAAACCTCCCGATCGGAGTCCTTGCTGTTGGATGTAGTTTATTGTCTTACCCAGGAGGAAACTCAATAAGGAAAGTAGGCTTGGGGAATATACTATCCACAGGGTCCAATGCAGGCAAGTGAAGCAGGGACAAAGAACGGGTTTGTCTAAATAGATGGCAAAAGGACAAAGAGGAATTTTAAATAACTCCGAATGAGTTACAGTAACGAAAGAGAAAGTTGTGGAGGGCCATAATTACCCAAATTATGAAGAGACATAAAAGAAGGAAGAAGAAAAATAAGGTAATTTTATGGCGAGATTTGACCCATGTATACCTCACCATGAAACTAAAGGAAGAACTGGGCAGTTTTTTTTTCATTACTTATGCATAATGTCTCAATAATACATTTTCGTCATGTATTAGATAACACCCTTGTCGAGCGGTGTTTAAATATGGACGAGAAATAAAATCTAGAAACGGATATACAAAGTGATGAGTCCTGATCTGGCATCTCGTCTCTTTCTCACAGACGTGCTGTGGCTTCCCTTTGTCTTTTCTATAAATATTTCCATGGCAACTGCTCTGATGAGCTACTTTCACTGGTTCCCAAATTGCATGAAATGAAGCGTGCTACTAGGTTGGCATCTCGGTCCCACCCTTTCACTGTCGAAACGGTTAAATATAGCCGTCCCTTCTACCCCAACAGCTTCTTCTCTCGCACTTCCCGACAGTGGAACTCCCTTCCTCTTGCTTGCTTCCATGATGGTTATAATCTTCAAATATTTAAATGTAATGTCAATTGACATCTTCTGATGCCTTGATCCTGATCTACGCCCTTCTCTATATCCTTTCCTCAAACACTCCTCTTTAATCTCGCTCTCTGTAACCACCTTGCTTGCTAGTGGCACTGCCGACTTGCTTGGGGTGATATGAAAAAAATGAAACGTTCGTCTTGTTGAATTTTACTTGCTTATTTTAATTCATGACTCTTCATTAAAGAATTAAACAAAAATCATTTGAAATCTATGGAAGGACAGATACGCATTTCTGTTCAGTTGATTTTAAGTACGAAACGTTCGTCTTGTTGAATGTTACTTGCTTATTTTACTTCATGAATCTTCATTAAAGAATTAAACAAAAATCATTTGAAATGTATGGAAGGACAGATACGCATTTCTGTTCAGTTGATTTTAAGTGCGAAACATTCGTCTTGTTGAATGTGCGCGATAAAATTTTATCTGTTTCAATTAAATTCCTATTACCGATAAAAACACGAAACTCATTTATCTCTCGAAAATCAATTATCGTTCTGGGCAAAGCAGACGTGGCAAGGAGACAGTCATTTAGCAAACTCGTTCTCCTTCCCCCCCCGTCACCTTATTTGAAGATCAACAAGAACTTAATTATCTTTCCATCAATAGTTTTACAATAAACAGGAACTGGTCCGGAATTTAGTAAACGTGGATTAACATTACTTGTATAAATCTAATGGCGGGAACAAAAGTTGTGGAACTTCGTCACGTTTTTATTCGAGGAAATGTCTTTTTTTTTTTCCTTTTCGTGCTACAAGTTTTAACCGAATACAGGTTATTCTGGAGTTTCTGTCTACATATCTGAGATGATGTATTATGTACACTATTTACATTATTCGGACTATTGTCCTCATCTTTGTCGCCATGTTTATTACAACGTTTCGGCCCTTGTACGTTTCGGCCTTCTTCAGGTGGTTGAAAGGTCGAACTGAACCCTTTATTTCGCTCACTGGAGTAGACTGTTCTAGTTCCACATGCCATGTCTAATGGATGTCATTTATCAGTTATCTCCTGTTAATTCCCCTTTCTAAGTTCTCCACTGTGAACTCACAACTCTTTGGGTCTTGACACTGGATCTAACAAACGCCTTTATCCCCTGTGCCATGTATCCTTGAGAACTTGGAGAGGGGAATCTCTTCTTCATCTTTGAGGAAATCGTCCAGCATTCACTGCGGTATAGAAGGGCAGTTCTCACCTAACAGATCAGTATTCTTTTCTTTGTTACCAAAGAAATCCTCCCGTGTCGCAATAATCTGCCCAGCTTTTGGAATGCTTTTCTTGGCCATCCCAATACGTCTACGGATCTCAGTCTCGCACTTACCGTCCTCTGTCAAAACACTTCCCAGTTATTTAAACTTCCGCGTCTGCTTGATTCTAGTGTTCCCGACCTTCAGATCGCATTTCGAGCTAATAGTGATGTCATTAAACGGAAGAGTTTGAAATGTGAATTGCTAACACATAAAATGAAAGTAATTAATAGTCATTAATATTTTTGGTATCGTAACTTGTCTATAATTGAGAGCGTTTCATGTGTAATTGCAAAATAAATCACAACTATCAACTACATTAATATTTGTCTTAGCAATTCAACCCTGAAGATGATCTTGGATGAGATTGAAACAACTTGGGGAAAATAAAAGAGATAACAAGACCTACGACGTCTTTCTTACTCAGTTTTGTAAGAGTACTAAGAAACTGATCCACGAATTTGAGAGGATTAAAATGAAATAAACACGTATAATATATCTACATTGTTCATGCTTGATATATATATATATATATATATATATATATATATATATATATATATATATATATATATATCATATGAGGAAAATTATTATAGACTTCATTAGAACACAATAATACGAAATTATAAATTTGAAAGTTAGCTGAAACATTTCAAAACTTGTTTATACTTGTAAAGTAGAGAAAAGGTAGAAAGACAGAGTGACTGACAGCCAGCTAACTAGATAGATAGATAGATAGATAGATAGATAGATAGATAGATAGATAGATAGATAGATAAGAACAGGCTGCGATAGATAGATAGATAGATAGATAGATAGATAGATAGATAGATAGGCTGGTACCAAAGGAAGAAAAAAGTACGAAAGAAAGAAATAGATAGATAGATACTATACAGGCTGATAGAAAAGAAAGAAAAAAAGAGCTAGATGGGCAGATAGTAGAGAGGATGATATAAAAAAAAACGAAGGAAATATATATATACGCACACACACACACACATATATATATATATATATATATATATATATATATAGAGAGAGAGAGAGAGAGATTTGAAAAGACTGGAATAGATAGATAGTATACAGGATAATAGAAAAGAAAGAAAAAAGAGGTAGATAGTAGAGAGTATATATATATATATATATATATATATATATATAGATAGATAGGTAATTAGATGTATAGTTAGATAGGTTTGAAAAGACTGGAATAGATAGATAGATAGATAGATAGATAGATAGATAGATAGATAGTAAGTAAAGCAGCTTGAAATAACAGCAAAAGGTTTGAAGGCAAGGAAAGCAAAAACAGAAAAAGCAAATAAAAAGACACGAAAGAGAATAGTAACGATTAAGATGAAGGAACGAACTGGAAAGAAAAAGAAACAGCAAAGCAAAAAATATCTTAGAAAAATAAAGATAGCATTGAAAATGCCAAAAAAAAAAAAAAAAAAGAAACGTTACTTGGGAAAGAAAAGTTTCAAATAATGGACGAAAAAAAGAAAAAAAGAAATAAAGAATAGAAAATAGAAAAGACAATAGAAAAAAGGCGGTCAAAGGATTATTCGCGCCTAATCAAATTATTTTCTACTCGTCATTTTCGAATCAAATGTAATGAGGATGAGTTTTTTTTTTATTTTTTCTCATCTACAAACGATTGCCTCGATTTCACAATTAAGTTCAAAGCTTCGTGATTTTTCTCTATAGATATGGTTAATTTTTTCTCTCTCAGGAAAGAATCTACACCAATTTCTTTACTGTAAGTCTTATAATCTTCTAATTATTTTCGAGTTATCCAATATTCTTTGGACTTTCGCCAGTCAAAAAAATAAAGTTAAGTTTGGCACTTTGGTGCATCTGTCTGCCAAAGATGCGAGTCAAGGAACTAAATCCAAAACGCAACCGACATAGATCGTAAAAATGAGGAAGAATTTTGTTTTTTGATATCCTTAATTTGGAATGTTCTTTGGGCTTTGCAAATTTCAAAGTGGATTAGCATGGAGTTCTATTCGGCAGAATTGAAAACAGTGAAGTAAATATTTTCTTCATTGAAATATTCTCTAAATGTAAAGAATTTGAAGAGAATATATATATATATTGAAGAGAATATCATATATATATATATATATATATATATATATATATATTCCGTATCTTGTTCTCCCTCTTAATTCTTTAATAAGCAACCGTATTTTTCTGTTTTCAAAAATAAATCATTTTCATCATGATGTCGGAACTTGGTTAAAGGCACGTCAAGCTAAATGATGGTCCCGTACACGATACAGGTTCGAATCCTGTCGGAGGACGAATATTTTCTATGAAAATTTCTCGGATATTCAGGCCGGTAAATGTCTTTAATACTGTTTATTATAAAACAGAGCATTTACTTAAATATTTGAATCTATAAAAAGAATGTATAAACATAAAATTGTTTTAAAATAATTGACTTTGTGCATTTCATAATATATATTTATATGTATACCCAAGTATAAGATGGGTGTATACGGAATAAATTCCAATAACCAACAAATACTATTCTTAAAAGTGTGCTCAATACAGAGTAGAGCAAATATAATTATTTATTCGAAAATTATAAGATAAATATTATAAATTATAACACAAATATGTTTTAAAATGACAACAAAATAAACATTTTTCAACACTTCTGGTGTTTTATCTTATTGAACACCATCACTTAATAAGACACTAGAATATAATAATTTTCGAATAAATAATTATATATATATATATATATATATATATATATATATATATATATATATATATATATACAGAGTCTGCGATGGATAAATTGTCGTCTAGATTATGCAAAAATAAAAATAACAATATATCATCCAAATCTTTCTGAATCCTCTAAACTGTCCTCAGAATTGACATCCAGACATCATGGTATGTGCGTATTGGAGCTTTCGCCGCAAATTCCAATCAGTATAGTGTGACGTTTGCCAATTTCTGGTGGAGTGAATTGCGTCATGGGACGCTTTTTTCAGCGACGGTGCCCAGTACACTATACTATTCTGTGAAAGTCGGCAAATCAAAACAAAGAACGGGCATGCGCGAAATTAAAAATATAAAATGGCGTCAATTTACCCATTGAACTCTTTTATATATATATATATATATATATATATATATATATATATATATATATATATGAAGAAAATATATACGGAAAAACAAACAAAAATCCTTCTATACAATTATGCTGTTTTAATGTTGATATGTCAACGTCGGACGTTTCGGTCTTATAAACCATCTTCAGGACATATTCATAAATTATAACATTATCAATACAACATGACAATGTTGTATTGATAATGAAGATGGTTTATTAGGTTGCCATTTCTTTCTGTGGTAGACCAGTTGCCATCTGATATAATGGAATATGATTGTCTGGTGTCCGTCATAAATACCGACGGACGTGTAGGAGAGTCAAGAGCCTTAGTCTGAGAGCTAAGTCTATAACGACGCCCATTGGACTACGCCATTGATCTACACTTCTTACCTGCGACTACGACGCGTACTAGTCGATTACTGCTACCGTATTCTACTTGGTTATAGTAACCAAAACCACTTAGCTACTTCGTTCAAATATATCCCTTTCCGGGATATATCACTATCCAAGGCTATAGAACCTGGTCTGTCCTGCTGGGGGAGAAGAAGAGGATTCATACCTTTCCCAAGTGAGTGAATGTAATGGATTCAACTGGAATTCGAATTCGGCTCTCTGATTCCTCAATCCGAGCCACTATCCATTACTCCATTCTTAATACTTGATATAATTAAAAACTATCTCAATGATAAAATCAGTCATTATAATTATTCATAACTATTTATAATGGGACTCACGACTGTAATTACAAGTAATCCATAATAATATTTTATATTTTGAAATCATATTTATTTTTGGCCTATGAATGTTTTGAAACTGTTTCTAAATATTTGTCTTTCAATCATTCCGCCTCACCTGCTATCCTCTTCAGCTGCAGATATGAAGCGTGACACACCGATTGGAAATCCCTGCTTTAAGATTATCCTGATGATGATAAAACGATAATTGGCTAGATAATATAGAAGACGTTGGGGTCGATTTTTTTTTTAATATGATAATCTATTAGCTTGCGAAAAGTCAATGTAATGAGGATGATTTTAAGAAAGTAAATTTTTCTATTTGATAGACCAAACTGGGTGATGAAGTGACATTTTACTAATGGAGGCGTAGCATTTTTTTCCATAATTACTTTTGACAGTGACAGCTGGTAATCTTTCACTCTTTTTCTCAATATCGATATGCGAAAGTGAATTGCCGTTTAAGAAACGAAAGTAGATCGAATTGTTTGATGGACAAAGCAGTAAGTAGTTAACCGTTGTTACCAGTAGCGGGTACCAGTTGAAAGTGGAAAATGCTTCCAAAAGAGATTATTTTAGACGGACAAATAATTGGTAAAAACAGTGTAACAATTCAGTAAGTCGTTCATAGTTTTCGCCAGTTTCTCGGTGCCTTGAGTCCGTACGTAAATACGCACATACGTACGTATCTATCTATCTATCTATCTATCTATCTATCTATCTATCTATCTATCTCAGTCTGTTCGTATCTATCTATCTATCTATCTATCTATCTATCTATCTATCTATCTATCTATCTATCTATCTATCTCAGTCTCTTCGTATCTGTCTATTTACTTATCTATCTATATATCTATGTATCTTTTTTAATCTAGTCATATCTATTTCTGTATATCTAAATCTCTTCATATCTTGCTATCTATTTCACTCTTTTCATATCTACCTATAACTCTAAACCGACTGAGTGAGATAAATTCTACGTATCCCACTCAGTCGGTTTAGATTTATGTAATTGAATAGGTTTAAACGAAAGATTCTTACACACGCGCGTGCGCGCGCACACACTCACACACACACACATATATATATATATATAAATATATTATGTTTAATTATATATATATACGTACATATTCGAAAGTGAGAAGGAAAATAAGGAAATATATATACCTGTCAAAGTGAAGGGCATCACCCTTTTAAATATTCCATTTGCCATAGAATCTGTTTGTGAAAAGCTGAACTGAAATCACATGAGCGATCCCATGTTGAAGTGGCACGTATTAATTATGATGACCATATATACATCTATCTACCATTTTCCTTGTCAGATCTATAATTTTTGCTAAATCAAGATGGGACGCAAAGGGGCGTTTAAATATACACGAAGCATAAAAAGACAAGCGCAGTGGCGAGCCATTTTTTGTAAGATTTATGGACTAGTTTTTAAAAGGTTATCTGGGTTGAAAAGCTATTTGCGTTTTCACGCAAGAAACGAGGCGATGCCAGTACAGTAGAAGTATTCAAACCTCATATAACAGCCGACCATATTATTATTATTATTATTGAAGAAAAATTGTTATTGAGCCACCCGGTCACGATTAAAAGTTTTCAAATTCGCCGTGTGCGCAATCATCAGGTAATCGTTACCATTCTCCTTTTTTTCTACGTTCTGTTCAGGACGCGAGTGATCATGGCCCTTCACAACTTCCTGTGGTATTCGCAAGTGGTCACTCATCTAGGTACTGACTAGGCTCGACGTTGCTTAAGTTCAGTTATCTCACGTATCATTGGGGGTATGAAATAAAGTAAAATAAGGTTAAGTTTAAAAATTTTCTCTGGAGCTAGAAAAAGAATATTTGTATAAAAAATGGTTAGTCTAACATAAAAATTCGGGATTGGCTTCGGGCTCGTGAATTGGTCTCGGACTCAGGGATTGGCTTCGGACAGGGAATTGGCTTCGAGCCTGGGAATTGTCTTTGGGCTCGGGGGTTGGCTTCGTGCTCGCGGATTGAATTCGGTCTCGGGAATTGGATTCGGGCACGGGAATTTTCATCGGCCTCTGGGATTGGCTTCGTGCTCGGGGATTGGCTTCGAGGTCGGGAATTGTTCTGGGGCTCGCGGATTGACTTCTGCCTCGGGGATTGGCTTCGAGGTCGGGAATTGGTCTCGGGGATTGGCTTCAGGCTCGGGAATTGGCCTCGGGCCTTGAAATTGGCTTCGGGCATGGAAATTGATCTCGGGCTCGGGGATTGGCTTTGGACTCGGGAATTGGTCTCGGACTCATGGATTGGCTTCGGGCTCGGGAATTGGCTTCGAGCCTGGGAATTGTCTTCGTGCTCGCGGATTGACTTAGGTCTCGGGAATTGGCTTCGGGCACGGGAATTTTCATCGGCCTCTGGGATTGGCTTCGGGCTCGGGGATTGGCTTCGGGCTCTGGGATTGGCTTCGAGGTCGGGAATTGTTCTCGGGCTCGCGGATTGACTTCTGCCTCGGGGATTGGCTTCGATGTCGGGAATTGGCCTCGGGCCTGGAAATTGGCTTCGGGCATGGAAATTGATCTCGGGCTCGGGGATTGGCTTCGGGCACGGGGATTGGAATCAGGCTCGGGGATTGGCTTCGGGCTCGGCAATTGGCTTCGGCTCAGGGATTGGCCTCGGGCTCTGTGATCGGCCTCGGCTCAGTGATTGGCTTCGGAGTGGGGCCTAGGCAAGCCAAAAAAAAAAAAAAAAAAAAAAAAAAGACATAAGAAAGCCAAACAAACTGTTCCGACTATCAATGTAACTATCTAGAGCGCTTGGGTTGTTTAAATTAATCTCCAACCACAATGTGAAAAATTTGAAAAATTTAAGCCTAAGGATAAGAAGAAAAAAATCACTTAACTAATAAACAGCCAGATAGATTGTTTTAAATATGTCGTTTTTGTAGAATACGATCTCTTTGAAGGAGTCAGTTGATGCACACAAATCTCGCCAATAAAAAGGGCCTAAAAAGGAGGATGTCGCGTGCCTTTACATTCGACTTATCAGTTCCTGACAAGAATGTCCTGATAAAATGAAAAAAGTTCCTCCACACCAAGATTCCTGAGGTTTTTGTCTTAGTAGCGAGGGATGGTCTAAAAAGTTCGAGTAGGGACACTATTTACATTATTCGGACTATTGTCCTCATTTTTGTCGACATATTTATTCCAACTTTTCGGCGCTTGTACGCTCCGGTCTTCTGTAAGGACAGCTGGCATAGTGGATAACGTTAGATCCAGTGGCAAGACCCAAAGAGCATGAGTTCAATACCCGGTTAAGGCAGTGGAGAACTTGGAAAGTGAATTAACAACAGATAACCGATATCTGACATCCATTAAACATGTCATGGAACTAGAACTATTTACCCCAGTGAGCGAAATAAAGGATTCATTCCAACCACCTGAAGAAGGCTGGAGCGTACAACGGCCAAAACGTTGTAATAAATGCGGCTACGAAGATGGGGACAATAGTGCAAATAATGTAAATAGTGTACATAATACCTCATCTCAGAAATATAGACAGATACTGAAAGGCCGAAACGTTGTAATAAATATGGCGGCAAAGATGAGGACAAGAGTCTGAATAATGTAAATAATGTACATAATAGCTCATCTCAGAAATATAGGCAGATACTGAAAGGCCGAAACGTTGTAATAAATATGGCAACAAAGATGAGGATGATAGTCCGAATAATGTAAATAGTGTACATAATACCTCATCTCAGAAATATAGACAGATACTGAAAGGCCGAAACGTTGTAATAAATATGGCGACAAAGATGAGGACAATAGTCTGAATAATGTAAATAGTGTACATAATACCTCATCTCAGAAATATAGACAGATACTTAAAGGCTGAAATATTGAAATAAATATGGCAACAAAGATGAGGACAATAGTCCGAATAATATAAATAGTGTACATAATACCTTATCTCAGAAATATAGACAGATACTTAGAGGCTGAAATATTGAAATAAATATGGCAACAAAGATGAGGACAATAGTCCGAATAATATAAATAGTGTACATAATACCTCATCTCAGAAATATAAACAGATACTCGAGTAGGGACGTTATCTTACTCACTGTGATTTCTGTATCAGTGACGAGTGGTCGATCATAATCTTCTGCTCGAGACAATGACATTTTGCCGATACAGATCCCACGCCTCATGCCATTTATTATTGCAATCAAATCCCCATTCCTTGTGTAAAGATGGCTCTTGATTTTTAATGAAATATCGAGTCTGTGCGATTTGGGAAAATTGATCTGAAGGCAGCCCATGGCACCCACTGCGAAGTAACGACCACAGTCTGTCGAGCAGTCCGTCGATTAAAAACGTTCGAATTACAAAGCAGTAATTATGCTGCATCTTGTTTTTTAAGTGAACAGGGGATATGCGGGTGGTGCAAATGTTAGCGTCGCGGTACGAGATATCGGAGGGTCGAGATCGAATAGTAGTAGGCTTCGTTAGATTCACTTAAGTGAAAATACTCTTTGTTAAAGGCATGAATTTATCACCTCCTCGTAGTGGGACTTGTGTCTAGAAAAATGAAAAAAAAAACATTTTTAATTCAGTATTTACTCTCAAAAACAGAAATATTTTTAAAATCCATAAATTATTTTTCGGCTTTAGATAACTCAAAGTCATAAAAAGCGAATCAATCATGCAAAACATATCGAACGGGCGGACGTGAAACTGAAAAAAAAATGTCAGAGGGCTCACATAAAAAAAAAATTACAGATTGCAAGTCGAGCTTCTATGAAGATCACCAGACATACAAAGATGTCAGCTGAAGAACCCGGGACCTATAGACACATAGAAAACGACACATCGACTAACATCACGTAAGATACAGTGACCACGCTACATAAGACATTATGACAATGTCACATTGATTAGAAATTAATATAAAGAGTTTTTTTACGGCAGACTATTTCGTTAAACGGTATTCTCTGAAATAGTCTGCTGTAAAAAAAAAAAAAAAAAAAAAACTCTTCATATTATTGCTAACTCAATATAAAACATGATCTAATCAAGATAGGGGCTTATTAAATTATGTTGTTGCAAGGGCGTACAAAGAGGGATTAAGAGTAAGATATGAGGATAGGCAGGATAGATAACGGTTAATCTTAAGCATGAAGTAGAGCTAAAACCATAGATCAAACTTGTCAGTGATGAGCATACTCTTTAACCAGTCGACAACCACCATATGCATGAAGTGATCGAGTTGATTGATTGACCGTTTCATTTATTATCAATCTTTTGCAAGATATTTAAAGCCAGTAAATATTTTTTTTATATTTTAAGAATATTTTCTGAGATAATAATGATTTAGCGATACAAGTCATAGCTGGGGGAAGAAGAGTTGGATTTATGTCTTTATTCCTAAAGGTATTTGAGTGTAAGTGAATATAACGAACCCGATTGAAACTGAAACTCAACTCTCCGATGAACAATTCGGAGCCATTATCCATTAATCCACCCGCACACTCAAGATTATAACACCCTGTATCCCCAAGCGGTCACTCATCTAGGTACTCATCAGGCTCGACGTTGCTTAACTTTGGTGATCGTACGGGAACATGTAATGACCGAGAAATCATCTTTCGTATGTCTGTTACAAAATGTAACTCTTCTGGAGAAGAAATTGTCTTCCTCCTGGCGAAACGAATGTAGATAAATTGACTTTTGTGTACGCAGCATGTCGTTTCTAGTTGTGAAACTCTTGATTGGTGGAACTAAAGAAAGTAGCTTGCCTGAACACCTGCTTCGCTTATATTGGATGCTCAACCTATTTAGCCATGTGTCCTACTTAAATGAGTTGTCCTATGCATATAGAGGACCAGATTTAGACGATATTACTCTGGTTAAATTGTAAGAATTTGATAAAAGCTGATGTGTCTTCTGGATCTGCATAAATACGCAAGGTTTCTACGCTAAAAAAATGTTTCGAACGTCAGAAACAATGGTTTGGAAAAATGCCATTGTAATTCTTCTGCAGACGACAGCTTGAATCATAATTATAATTTGAATAAATTATTTGGAGAATGCAAATCAGATTTTTTTGTTCGTTTCGCCCAACAAAATTATTCTTCGTTAAAATGTAGTCGAGAATAATTGACGATGTCCACCAATTAGCGGTGGGCTTACGCTTTTGTTTCTACGACAACGGAATCAATTTTATTTGAAGAAGAAACAAAAAACAACGTCCATACACTGATTGAATAAAATAATAGTTGCCTCTTTCGCCAACGCGTGGATATTATTAATGTAAAAGTAACAACGCTAAAATTTGCATTATGGCCGTCGTGTACGGATTTGTCGATACCGTCGTCTGTCGTCCATTGTTTTGATTCAACATGGCGTTGTTTTTTGTTCGTTTGTAGTATTAGAAGTAACTTCGTGTCAAATATTGTTCAATGATTTTCATGTTACCATTAGGTGTGTGCAAAAGTTTCCAGCCAAAAACTAGTCCTCAACTGTGCATCCATTCTTTTCTGTTCAAAAAGAAAATTGAATCGCAATTTGCAGGCCTTTTTTTTCATTTTAACGTCCCATAAATGAAACTACTTTCTTTTGATCATCTTAAAGAAATTTTTTTTTGTTTTTGCTTTCCATCAGTATGGCTGATGGTGACCTTGAGGAAGGCAGCTTACTAAGCCTTCCTAGTCTAACGTTTTCTACTAGCATGAAGTAAAGCGATTATAGTGAAATAATTGCTTAGGCTACTGGTAGGGACGTCAGTTCACTTTGTCTGGTGCTATATATATATATATATATATATATATATATATATATATATTATATATATATATATATATATATATATATATATATATATATATATTTTACAGAAAAAAATAAAACAAAAAATAACTCAACATCGGAATAGATTGTTTCAAACCTTCCTTCAACGACTTTCGTCAGTCACTATGTACTTGTCTTCGGAGCGCTTATTTATGTATTTTTCAAAGGCAGTCTCTGGTAGGCGCTTTGGTAATGGGAGTGGGTTTGTGTTAGCGATTGGTGGGGCGTCAGGTATCTTATCTGGGGGTAAGCGGTCTGGGTTTGTAGTTTATTTATGACTAGGATTTTTGTTAATTTAATATCAGTTCCTGCTATATGGTATTTCATATAAAAGTCCCGGCGTATGTTTTTCTGGGATTCCCAATATATTGTTTTTGTACTGTAAAGTGATGGGGGATTTGAACTTAAGTCCGTTAGGATTAAATAAGCGCCCCGAAGACAAGTACTTAGTGGCTCATGAAAGCCGTTAAAGAACGGTTTGAAATTTCTGATATTGAGGTAATTTTTGTTTTTTTGCTGTAAAAAATACATATGCTCTGTTAAAATAAAAACATCGAGATCTCCGTGGATTAATTTTAATAATCATTATTAGTAGGATCTACCCGGATTTATACCAACGGACCTATTACCCTATATATATATATATATATATATATATATATATATATATATATATATATATATATATGTGTGTGTGTGTGTGTGTGTGTGTGTGTGTGTGTGTGAAGGAATGTAGTTCTAAATTATGCTATATTTTGGGCTAAGGTGGTCAATATCAGAGACAAGTATTTTTTTTAATTTTGAAATTAAGATTTTCCTCCGTCCTTTCAAATGAGGTAATGATTTGTTTTCTAGTTTCCCACATAAATCATTTTCATCATAAGTTATCTATCATTGTCTGATGAAGGAACATTATAGTTCCGAAACATGAAAGTTTCTGTGTAGCGATGTAAGATTTTATAATAAAAATAATATAATAATAATTTGCTCTGCCTTGTATTGAGCACTGGGGTCAAAATAATATGAAAGTATAAAGGTAAATTTTATAGTGAAAATAACAGCAATGCGTTTTCACAAATTTACCACCAATGATTTAAAAAAAAATACCAGCAGTACATTTTTACAAAAAAAAAAAAAATAAAATAAAATAAATAAATAAATAAAAAATAAAAAAATAACCATCAATACATTTTTGTAAAGGACATTACTTAGGCTCCTAAGAAAATACGGAGTTGATATGCCTCGGAATAAACAAACTATTGCAGTATTCAAACCTTACCGATTACATACATACTTATTTTAAATTACTTAGATAATTATATATTCAATTATTCCCAATTATTTGTTTTATTATAATATATAATAATTACCGTTAAGAAGCTATTTAAATATTTGCAGAAAGAGTAGACAGTAATTGGGAGTGAAAATTTTAATAAATTGTTTAAAAAATGTGTAATATAATATATATATATATATATATATATATATATATATATATGAGCCGCGGTGCGATTTTCGCTTCCAGCGTCTCGTATGCACGTGTTTGTCGTTGCTTGGAAATCCTCCATGCAGACAAAAACAGATTATCATTGTTGCTATGTCCGTGTATTGTTTAATTTTTTGTAATGTTATTGTCATCTTTGATAATGGCTTATGTAATCAGTAACCTTGGAGAGAATTCAAAAAAAAAGAAAAAGTAAAGTATCAATATGGTGATTTTCTTTCGTCTTTTAATGATAATGTTATTAAACTTATCAGACGATATGAAAGGAAATTGCTTAAAATAAAAAAACAAAACTTGTCTATATTATTTAATGAAACATGCATTAATATATATATTAAGCAGATCATTATATAAACATATATTATTAAATCTAACAGACAATGAATGTCTATTATGTCTGTTCCGGAGCCGTTCGAATATTTGCTTTAATTTCTGGGGAAAAACATAACCAAGTATCTAAAGAAAATCACCATATTGATACATGTTCTTTAATCCGGCTTACATAACACATCATCAAAGATGACAACTACAATACAATATATTAAGGTAGGTTTACAATACCCAGATATTCATACAGAGATGTCCTCGAGGACACATGGCATAGTGAATAAAGGGGTCAGTTAGATCCAGTGACAGGAGCCAAAGAGTGTGAGTTCAATACCTGGTAGTTCAAAACCTGGTACTGGAGAACTTGGAGAGGGGAATTAACAAGAGATAACTGATAACTGACATCCATTAAACATTGCGCGTGGAACTAGAACTGTCTACCAAAACGTTGTAATAAATATAGCGACAAAGATGAGGACAATAGTCCGAATAATGTAAATAGTGTACAAAATACATCATCTCAGAAATATAGACAGATACTGAAAGGCCGAAACGTTGTAATAAATATGGCGACAAAGATGAGTACAATATTCCGAATAATGTAAATAGTGTACATAATACATCATCTCAGAAATATAGACAGATACTGAAAGGCCGAAACGTTGTAATAAATATGGCGACAAAGATGAGGACAATATTCCGAATAATGTAAATAGTGTACATAATACATCATCTCAGAAATATAGACAGATACTGAAAGGCCGAAACGTTGTAATAAATATGGCAACAAAGATGAGGACAATAGTCCGAATAATGTAAATAGTGTACATAATACATCATCTCAGAAATATAGACAGATACTGAAAGGCCGAAACGTTGTAATAAATATGGCGACAAAGATGAGTACAATATTCCGAATAATGTAAATAGTGTACATAATACATCATCTCAGAAATATAGACAGATACTGAAAGGCCGAAACGTTGTAATAAATATGGCGACAAAGATGAGGACAATATTCCGAATAATGTAAATAGTGTACATAATACATCATCTCAGAAATATAGACAGATACTGAAAGGCCGAAACGTTGTAATAAATATGGCGACAAAGATGAGGACAATATTCCGAATAATGTAAATAGTGTACATAATACATCATCTCAGAAATATAGACAGATGTTGAAAGGCCGAAACGTTGTAATAAATATGGCGACAAAGATGAGTACAATATTCCGAATAATGTAAATAGTGTACATAATACATCATCTCAGAAATATAGACAGATACTGAAAGGCCGAAACGTTGTAATAAATATGGCGACAAAGATGAGTACAATATTCCGAATAATGTAAATAGTGTACATAATACATCATCTCAGAAATATAGACAGATACTGAAAGGCCGAAACGTTGTAATAAATATGGCGACAAAGATGAGGACAATATTCCGAATAATGTAAATAGTGTACATAATACATCATCTCAGAAATATAGACAGATACTGAAAGGCCGAAACGTTGTAATAAATATGGCAACAAAAGATGAGGACAATATTCCGAATAATGTAAATAGTGTACATAATACATCATCTCAGAAATATAGACAGATACTGAAAGGCCGAAACGTTGTAATAAATATGGCGACAAAGATGAGGACAATATTCCGAATAATGTAAATAGTGTACATAATACATCATCTCAGAAATATAGACAGATACTGAAAGGCCGAAACGTTGTAATAAATATGGCGACAAAGATGAGGACAATATTCCGAATAATGTAAATAGTGTACATAATACATCATCTCAAAATATAGACAGATACTGAAAGGCCGAAACGTTGTAAAAATATAGCGACAAGATGAGGACAATATTCCGAATAATGTAAATAGTGTACATAATACATCATCTCAGAAATAAAGATGTTGAAATGCCGAAACGTTGTAATAAA